TTTCTGCCACGATGCTATTTCATTTTTGAGCTTTTCGATCGTTTCGCTCATCTCCGACTCCGCATCATTTTTCCCCGCCTCTTCACGAGATTCTGCTAGCAAGCGTATTTTTTCGACTTCACTTCGTGCTTCCTCAATTTGCGCCCTATAAAGCGAAAAAAAAGTGTGTTGCCGAGCAAAAAAGTATCGGCATTCTTGGTACACTATCAATGAGTACCTGCTACGCTCCTGTTCTTCACTGATATCACGTTGAAACTTCTCACGTTGCACATCGATAAGGCTGTGCGTTTGTTCCAGCTCTGTTTGTAGTTCAGAAAGTTGTACACTAAAAGAAGGAAATATTTTAAAAGCTTTCTTATATCTATTCAAATAATAATTACATACATTGGACTGCCTATAAATGTATGTCTTAAGGAGGCAACTATTCACAGGACAATCAACTGGCTATACACGTTAACCTTAGACACTTGCAGCATATGATTGTCCTAATAAATAACTGTTAACTTATGTCTACACGAATGATCCCGCCAGAGGTAAACGATCATCAATAATGAGACGTAACAAACAGACGGAGCAGAATACTAAACAGAACTTGTGCTGTAGAAATCTTAGAGATATAAACAGTGAATATCCCGAGCTAGGAGACTGGAAGAGGACCAATGTTCATCTGGCAGCAAAAATCAGTTCGGAACATTGTCTGAAATGCACTTTTCTTGACTAATCGCCTGTTTTTGCTCAGGAAATTCGGGATATTTGCACTGATTTCAGTAAAATTCCGGTTGCGATTTGTTCAAGGTGGTCATAGAGGCCTGGTAGGTTAAACATCTAAAAAGCTTAGTTATAATTTGACGCACTCTTTGTTGTTTAATTGTTCAGTGGTGGCTTCGAGCTGTTCCTGCAGAAATTCACACTGCTGCTCCATTTCCTTTAAGCGTGCACTTAATACCTTGTCAACTGCCTGAAATGTCAGCTTATCGACGTGATCTGCCTGAGCTGCATTCTCTTCCTGCGCTGATTTAACCTGCAACCGGCCACTTTCAAATAAACCGAAAAAAGCGCATGAAGCAGGATGGGATGATAAAATAATGATTATCTACAGTCTCCACGATCCACCACAAAAACTTTTGACAGTTTTCCTCGTAAAACAACACAGAGTAAAAACCCATAATTTTGGCAACAACAGATCTGGAAACACCAAGGGGCCCTTTTTGATCTGCAAAAAGTTGGAGGGGTAATTGAAAAAATTAAAAAAGCAGCCCAAAACTAAACAGAATATTTTACTAACCTTCAACCTCAAACTGTCTCGTTCTTCTGTTAGAAGTCTCAGTTGCTCCTTCAAATGATCGCTTTCAGAGACATTCTCGTCAGCACGCTCGATGGCATCGGTCGATTCTTCCCCGGTGCTCTAAAAGACCTCAAAGACAAAATGTCAGTATTCTTTGCCAAGTCCAATAAAGCCAGAAACGCGCCTCGTCACGGCAAAAAAGAAAAAAAAACGAACACTTGGCCAAGCGGCTGATCCTTCTTCATTCTCGAAGGAAGTCATCTCAATTGCGGTGGCCATATTTTCCTGAAAATTTCTATCAAAACAATGTATTAAATCTTTGAAAGCACAAAGGGTTTCACAGGGCAAGTACAGATGCAATTAACCGCTTAGTGAAAATTACAAAATTTTAACCCAAAAAAGTGCTTAAATTATTATCACAGAGTTCTCAGCGCTAATCAGATGCAAATGCAAATTGAGCGCAATTATGCCAGGTCGCCCGGGTCCAAAGAACTTCAAAAAAGTGTGGCAGTGGCTAAAGAAAACCATTTATTTGAAATACCAACACTGCTTTCGGTATTTTTCGGGAGACGCTGCGATTCCAGCTGAGCAATGTTCTCATGGTGTGCAGCAATCAATGCCGCAATTTCATTTTCAAATTTTCTTTTCTGTTCAGCCATAGCACATTCCAGTTCTGATATCTAAATGTATGCTAACGGAAGAAGTAACGGCGATATTTTATTTTGCCCAACAGTAAATTGAAATCTGTCAATTCTGCTCCACAAAAGCACCGCATCAAAACAGCACAAAGTGCCCAGCTGCGACGGCGAGCAACAATCGTATGAAAAAAACTTAATCTTGATGGAGCAAATAATAAAAAACAAAAAAAATTAAATGCACTTGAGAAAATACAGAATTAAAAATCTACTGCTATATGGCGATTAACACATTGTTATCGATAAGCTGTTGTGTTTTCTCCTTTCTTATGAATAAAGCATCTTCTTTAGAGGTGCTACTGTTACATTCCACAGTTGAAAACTTGCACATTTGTGTATGTTAATGAGTTAGAAAATTTTGGTTCCACCTTAAGCGACTTTACAAAAACAGCCTTTGCCGTTTACGGTTTAATGGACCAAAACATTTCTTTTCAGTCACTACCTTTCTTGCATTTTTATTTTCTTTCTGTTCTACTTCAACCCTGTTTATTGTATCACTTTACATTATTTCTTCATTATTTTTTTTACTTTAAACTTCATATTTTACTCAGTTTTCCCAGTTGGATTATCACTCATTGCTTTTTAGGCTACTAATATTAATAGTAAACTTTGGCTCTACTGATTTCTTTTACTATTACCATCATAGTTCCTCTTTAAGGTACGTATTATTTGTCATGTAAATATTGATATATTACACTCTGATAAACCTTGACTCGAACAACTGCATTTGATGTACCTTGCGACAAGATTGTATGCAGTGGGAAAGAGGTATTTACAATAACAAAAATTGCATTCTTCTCTTTATTACACAACCCCTATACGTCTGCTCGAATGCACAGACGTGTCAATTAAAACAAATAGCAACGCGCACTAGACTAGACCGTGCGAACATGCGTTTTGTGCAATTCAGCCCATCGAACGATTGCCTATTAATGATTTTCACTGCTTTGTACTTTTGTGTATGCAAGAATAGTTCAAAAATTGGAAAATAGTTAAAAATTTCACGCACCAGCGCATTAAAAATATTTTTCTGTGATTCCCGAGATAATAATTTATTTAAAAAAAATTTCACTAGCTCGTAGGTGATACCCGAGAGCGCGGTAACGCTGAATTTGAATGGGCAAGGTTAGGCGTAGGCAGAGGATCATTACCCTAAAATTTCAGCCTCCTAGATTCCGTGGTTCCTGAGATACCAATTTACACGTAAAAAAATTTCACTGGGCCGTACGTGTTACTCGCGGGTACGGGAAGTCTGAATTTAAATTTGCCGCGTAATCCGTTGGCGGAGAACACTACACCAAAATTTCAGCCGCCTAGCTTTTGTGGTTCCTGAGTTGAAAGTGCGGGACAAAATGTGGAACATACACACAAACAACTACACACACACACACAGACAGACAACCCCGTGACAATATGCGTCTTGTAACGCTGTTACACAGCATAATACACATAAAAAGGACATGATAAAACTCAACAGTTTCTTTAAACGACAGAGCTGAATGAGACGAAGAAAGAATCTGAACTGCACAGTACGCAGTTAACTGAACAAAAAAAAAAATATGAAAAAAACGAGCACAGACTTCCTCAAAATTTGTCTGCAGGTGCCAAAAATTAGCCAAAAAAATTAGTCTATACCAGATAAAAATTAACCGTGCATTTCCATAATACATGGTTCTGGAAACAAATAAAAGCTATTTTATACAAAAATTGAAAAAAAAAACCTTCTGTGAAGGGTTTTGTTTTGATCCCTCGTTGACCAGGCGTTTCCAGTGCGCCACTTCTTTTCTCAGTTGCTCAATTTCGTCTTTCATGCGCGTAATACGTGTAGTACCTTCGAGGAACACTGCATCCTCATCATCTTCGTCGCCCAGTGATTCGCGACGATGAATGCTATGCCGAAGCCTCTCCAGGTCTGCCTGAAATGAACTGTATTATAAAAAGCACTGAATAATTCTTAATTGAAAAAATTTCAATCAAAGGCTCGGTTGCTCAACATATCAACTCCTCGAAGTGCAGAGCAAAGTCGAGATTGCGTGTTCCCTCCTACCTCTTCTTCCCCACAATCCTGAATAACATATTCAATCAGGGAAAAACAAAATGCAGCTTCATCAAAGCGGAATTTTGATAGAATTGCACAATACAACGTAAGAATTTGTCTAAATTTAACACACTCATCAGCCAGAATTCCCAGACTAGTGCGGAATTCCCTCCTCCCCCCTACCTTACCTCGTTTTTTCCCTCCCTCTTCCGACTCCTATTTTCAACCCCCCCTCCCCCCTCCACACAAAAATACACGAAAATGACTGATATATTCCTTACAATGCAAAGAACCATCAAAAAAGTGAAGCCCCTCACTTGAAGTGTACGAATCTGATTATCACGCCCTTCGATCATCCCAGCATATTTTGTATTCAAT